CCACAAGACAAAGGCAAGCAGATTGCTACCGATCCGGACAGCCCAGTGATGACGTTGAAAAAATCTGAGGGCTGGCCTCAAGAACAAATCGATCAAGCTTTGGAAGAAAGCATTCAGATTCAAGCACTGAAAGAGAATCTGAATCCGATGTTGGGCATATCTACTCTTTTCCGAGAAGAAATTATTCACGACATACACTTTGTGCCCTTTATGTATTATTATCTTCCAAAACAGGATGCCGATCAACTTGATCTACCATTCTCTCCGCATGGTCACTTCTACATCAAGTACGCTCCTCTTCATCCGAATGGTGATCTTCAAATAATCATCAGGACAGGGCGTGAGAGATTGAGAACCTTTTACTCCGTCAACGCACGACCCTAAAAGGAAGTATGGTCTCGGAAGAGGATTACCAAGATTATTGGATATGGTAACAAAGTTCAAAGCATGTTCGATCTTAATTGTATGTTGTACAGATATTAACGTTTCTTAAAACAAAGAATCAACCATCACCATCACAGATGCCGACTTTCCTTCAATCAACACAAATGAAATTCTCACCATTGTTTCTCACTTCCGAGATCGCCAATCAAGTCACACGAGCATCGGAGCTTACAGTGCTGCAATCAATTTCTTGAAGGACTACATTGCGGAGTTCAGCAGGTCCGGCATTGAATTTGATCACTTGTTTGAAACTAAGAACGTTTTGGCAAAATTCACCACCGAACTGCCTGAAGCATAGATCTTGGTAGAAGGCCCCATTGAAGAACCGGAACTCGGTTATGTCTATCTCAAAAAGAAGAATAACCGAAAAGAATTCTTTAGAGTTCTTGACAAACATCTTGTTCCGACAAAGATCCTTCAGAAGTTCATTTCCAATGCGGAAAAAAGTGAACCTCTAGCAATCCGAAGCCAAACCAGAACCAAAGTTGAAGTGCATTCAAATATGTAAATGATTCTGAAGTCAAGCTTCTTCCGAGATGAAGACTTATCCAAGACATTCCTAGTTTTTGGTGTTATTGAGTCCGTACAAGCATTTAATGCTTTTTGTCGTTTTTATTGATTATACAGTTCATGGGACAAAAACGAGTAAATCGTGTGTGTCAGCGTTTCTGACTTATCAGATTTACATTCTCCATGTAAGTATTGTATTTTGTCTTATTGTCTCTCCTTTCCTATTTAAAGAGATGATTTATCCATGCATTGTAACCCATTTTGAAGCAATATTCTCCTTCACATCAAATACAAAATATCTTGCAAGTCAAATCTCTTTCTCCATCATTCTCCTTGTTCTTAAGTTGTCTTTACTTTGTTCATACTCATTTTATCTTACTTAAATATATTATTGAATAGTTTGTTGATCTTCATACTTCAAGACAAGACTACTTTACTAGACTTGACCGGACCAATATATTATCAGCAGACATTGATCTTAAATTAATTCAAGGTTTGAGTTTTCAAACCTTGTTCACGCACTAAGTCTTGTACTTTCAAAAAAGAGCAAAAAAATGTGTCTCAAACCAAAAAACACGCGCCATAACACGCCATAACGCGCCATGACATGCCATATCATGCCTTGCCACGTGCCACACCTAACAGCAATGTTATGAGGCTTTTTGTAACGGCAAAGTCGCGCCTCATGCCATGGCACGCCTTGGCAAGCGCCATGGCACGCCTTTTAGAACACTGGTTTGGGACATATTTTGACTATTAGGGTTTTGGGATTTGTTGGGCAACTAGCCCTTCTGAATTTGGGCCATTATGAGGCTTTGGGCCTTCTTGGATTTGGGCCCATATTGGATTTTGGGTGCCCTTTAGGAATTGGGCCACAATTGGGCTTTTAGTATCATGGAGTTTGGGCCTCAGTTATTGGGCCAAGTGAGGCAATGGTAAAATGGTATTTTACCCTGGGTGTTGGACAAATGAGCTAGATTCCCGGTTATGGTTTATGGCCCGGTTATTAATTGAGGTTTTATTTGATTGGTTAGCGTGGGGACTCTCCGGTTCAGCAGCCCGAGCATATGTTTGTCTGACAGCAGACTGAGGTGAGTTTGCTCACTACACTGTAGGACACTAGGATATGTTATGTGTTTGTAGTCTTTGTGACTCCTGTTGTATGTGTTATATGCATGTGTGCCTGTTTGCTATATGTATATGGGGTGAAATAGACCTGGGGGTGAAATAGATCCAGTACAACCTAGTGCTGACATATGAGTTGAAATAGACTTGGGGATGAAATAGACCCGGTACGGCTTTGTGCCGACACATGATTTGACATAGACTCGGGGTGAAATAGACCCGACACAGCCTTGAGCTGGCAGATATGTATGGTATGTGGTATTTTGGGGAACTCACTAAGTTTCGTGCTTATGTTTTATGTTTTAAATGTTTTTCAGGTGCTCCTAGTCTGCGAAGGAAGGGTCCGGCTTGATCGCAGCGCATCCACCCATGTTTCCACACTTTATGATTTTGGGAATTGTACTCTGATAACTATTTTACTCTGATGTACTTTTGAATGCTTAAAATGATCAAAGGGTGTTTATGGTTGATTTAAAAACGAAAATTTTACCTTTTAATTTTTGGGATGTTTCAAGTTGGATAGACGATGTTGAACCTATACACATATCGATGGAAACATGGAGCAAAAACGATGGGAAATAGAGAGTGGGAGAAATGGAGTCAGAGCTAGGGTTATGAAGAGAAGTAGGGTAGAGATATGGAACAAAAATCACGTCATAGGTTTCTCATTCGCTTTGTTACAATGTGTATCTCTTGTTGTTGTTAATGGAGTTATACTAAAAAGGGTTGATTAGATTACGATGAAATCGGATATTGAGATAGGGTACTGGTTTGATTGACTGGATTATGTAATACTTTGTAATATTAAATGTTGATTTTTGGGACATATCTTGTTGAAGGAATGAGTGGGAATAAGATTAAAGAGTATAAGAAAGATGCCACATTGCAAAATAGTTGTGTAGAAAGATGACATGTGTCATATTTAGGTTTTGTTTAGTAGAAGAGATAGCTAGATCTTTATTTTTTAGTCAAATGTTAGTATGAGACATATTTTAGATATTCATAATAGAAAATGATATCCAAATCATTTTTTTTGGGATAATCACGTATGTCTTATTAACTTTTAAATATCAAATTTGTTCAACCCAATTTTTAAATATCATATAGAAGAAATGTTATTTGTTATATAAAGTTTATTTAACAATATATCTTTATTAAGTTCATTTATGTGATATAATACTTTATTTATTTAATTTTATTTAGTTTTATGTTTGTATATGATAAAAACTAGTTGTGAGACTCATATAATTACGTGGATTAATTTATATATATATATATATATATATATATATATATATATATATATATATATATATATGAATGTCAAAATATTTGAGAACTTTGAATTTATAAGAAAATAAGAAAAATAATGAATTATTATAATGAAAATGTTTTTTATCTTTTAAATTTAAAAAAATAGTTTAAATAAATAAACAAAAGAAACTAATGAACTTTAATTTTGAGAATTTTGAAATTAAAAAGTAAGTTGATTAATGAAATTGATATCAATTTATTACTACATTTATTGCAATTATTACATTAAAATATTATGTAAAATTTAATAAAATTGAAAAACTCATAAAATGACATGTGAAAAAAAAATTAATTCAAAATAACCACAAAATGACATTTGATAAATTGAATGAGAATGTGATAAGTGACAAAAAAACATTCATTTATTAGAGTATATATTTTATTCGAGCCAACCAAATGTAATGATTTATTTCTTTATCGGTTCATTCTATTTCTTTATGATTCTATTTATAGTGAATTAGATTCTAAATAACTTCCATAAAAAATTTGCAAAATGTACTTTTTGCCAAATAGAATGAATTGACTTATGCTCTTGCGAATTATAGGAAAAAAAAAATCATTTGTGTTGTTCAAGAATCAATCGAAGACAACCAGAGTGGTTTAAATTCACAGCTGCTATTTCAAGTGTTATGAAAATGAAATATTCTATTTGGTATGATGAAACTGCTATTTCAAGTGTGTGAAAATGAAATATTCGATCTATTTGGTATGATGGAATTACAAAGAAATTTAATGAACACTAATAAAATAAACTAATAAAATGAGCGAGATAATAGAATGTATTATTACAATCCACTATCATCTCTGGTTGGGTCGAATAAACAAAATATGTCATTTAAACATATTATAATGATAACTAAATAAATCCAAAAATATATAATTTTATACAAATAAACTTTAATTAAATAAAGAATATCGTTAAATAAATTGTATGTATACTTCATTTCGTAGTAATATTTGTTAAATGCATTTTCAAATAATTATATGTGTTCGAAAAATGTTTACAATTAAAAAAAAAAATACCACGAAATCTCAAAATAAAAATATAATTAAAATAAATTTATTACGTTCAGAAGAAAACAACAATAAATAAGTCAAATGAAGTTTTAATTTTTTATTTTTTTGAAAAATTAGTTTTATTAAAAATTATATAAATAAAGTTAATTTAGAATCATAATTACCATTTCATTCCCTATTCCCTGAACCGAAGGAATGAAAATCAATCGAGAAGAAGGAATCGATAAAAACAAACATGATTTTATTTTATTATTCCGTTCTATCTTTGATTACCGCATTCAAAACACGATTATCAACAGTATTACAACTTTTAACTCTGGACACCCCTCCATATTTGATTTAGTTTCTGTAAAATGATCTTTTTTTATTCAAAATTTAAAACACTCAAAAAACGAGAAGTGGAATATCAGAAGAATGTACAATTTATTGATAGTGGTTATGACTTGTGATGAATAAACAACTCAACAAGTAGTAGTTGATACTATTTATATGAAGTTAGCATATAATGATATAAATATTAATTACAAACGTTCAAGTTTTTTCCAAGAGTTTTACATATTGTAAAGAAAGACAAGTTAAGAAAAAGCAAAGTCGAGTGTTTCTTATAGCAAATTCTATGCAACAAATCTTGTGTAGCATTTTAGCATATGTTAAACCTCTCACTTGAAACAACAGTAACATACCATCTTCTTCTAATCATATCATATCACAGCATTAACACACACACACACACACACACACACATAATATAATATAATGTACCAAAAAAGTAGCAATATGTACAAGTACTACAAACCTCCTCCATCTCCATTCATGGTTTTATGCTTTTCATGTATTATGCTCCAAAAGCTCAGACAATGCAAGTCTCATCTTCTCAACTGAAACAGGTTTAAGCACAACTCCATCCATTCCAGCTCTCAACAAACTTTCCTTCATCGCCTTATCTGTGTTTCCAGTGAGCCCCACTATAAGCGGGGGAGGCTTTTCATGGCGTTTTGGTAATTTCTCATGTACAAGTCTTGCAACATTGTAAGTATCAGAAGACAAAGACACATCTATGAAAACAACCTTATAGTTGTCTTTGGTTACGGCTTGTAAGCACTCTTCACCTGAACTAACCGTGGTTACATCACAACCAAGGTGCACCAGTAGCCCCTTTGTTGCTGTTCTGCTAACCCTACAATTATTAAGTTTTATTTTTTATTTTGCTTAAATTCAAAATTCATAATATTCATATAACAAAATAAGCATCACGAACCCGTTATCATCCACAACTACAACTTTTAGTCCGGGAAATTTTGTCTGCCCGAGTTTTGCGGGCACTCGCATGTGAGGGAGGCGGGACCCGTTTATGCGACTGGGGAACCCGAGTTTGACAAAAAATATTGCAGTGGAGCCCTTGCCAAGGCCTTCACTTTCTATCCATATATTACCTTCCATAAGATTCACAAATCTGCATGAATTGAAAATATCAGACATACATTACTTAGGGACCAAAAATGTAATAAAGTCTTCATTTCATTACCTTTTACAAATGGCAAGACCGAGACCGCTGCCACCTGGATTTCTAGTTGCGGGTGATTGGCTTTCTGCAAATTTGGTGAAGAGCTTTGGCATGTCTTGTTGGCTGATTCCCATTCCTGTGTCTTTCACCTACACTAGAGGAATGTAATTAAGAATTGGATTCCAAGAAGTGGGAAATAAAGATAGAATGCAAAAACAAACCTGAACACGTAAAAAGAAATTATTGTCACTAAGAAGGGGAAAAAAGTCGGGAGCTCGTGGATCCCTTAAAGAATCTGGTTTTGCCATGATGGCGGAAATTGAGATGCTGCCTTCTTTTGAGAATTTCACAGCATTTCCAATTATATTTAGAATTATTTGCATCAGTCTCTTTTCATCACCAACAGCATACTCTGGCAAATCTGATGAAAGGCTCAGTGTCACAAACAACCTTTTGACTGATGCAACAGGCCTGATCAGATTTAAAACCTGAGAAAAAGAAGTCAGTTTTTGTATCTGTATCTATCTGGTTGGATGGGATGGAATGGAATAAGGAATAAGGAATAAGGAATAAGGAATGGAATAAAGAGTGGAATGGAATGAGTACCTCCTTGAAGAGAGCATGAAGGTTGAAAGTTGTGGTATCAAGTTCAAGACTACCATCTTCCAGTCTTGAAAGATCTAATACATCATTTATGAGTGTGGCGAGTAAATTACTGCTTTTTAAAATGGTTTCAACCATGAGGCGTTGTTCAGGTGTCAAATCGGTTTCTTGAAGTAATGAAGAAAGTGCAATAATTGCATGCATTGGAGTTCTCATTTCATGATTCATAACTGCAAGAAAGTCATTACGTGCACGAACAGCTGTTTCAGCTTCTCTTCTTGCAAGATCAAGTGCTACATTTTGCTCCATAAGCAAGTCTCTAGCCCTCATTGACTCTTCCAAGATTGCAGCATGTGAAAGAGCAACAGCAACCTAGAAAAATATTAATTAAATTAATTAAAAGTAAACTAAAAGAATATATATATATATATATATATATATATATATATATATATATATATATATAATATATAAGCTAGATTAGGAGAAAGTGCAAACCTGATCAGCAACCACTTCAACAAGTTCAAGTTCATGAACATGCCATTGTCTAGCACTATCAGAAGGAAGCATCAAAACCATTAAAGCATAACGTTTTGTTGAAAGTTCAGGCCAATCATAGATTTGGAAATTGTTAAGATGTAGAAGTGGGACCCGCACAGCAACAACCTCCCCAAGCATATATTTACCAGAAGCAGGGCGTAATCTAGCAACAGGACTAGTTGGAGATATTTTAACAGCACGATTAGTACTAAAAACTTGATTGATTGCAGGAGATTGAATTGGAACTGTAAACCCTACAGGGTTTTGATGGCGAAGGGTATAAGAAAGTTGAAGCTCTAAACCACTGCGTGTTGGCATCCAAAGAGCACATTCTTCTAACCCCAATGTTCTTCCTAATTCCACAAGTGTAGTTTTTAATATTGTGTGTCTGTTAAGAGTGCTTCTGATTTCATGAGTTAGCATTCTAACATGTCTGCCTGTTTCTTCTTGTGTTCGAATGATACCCATTTCACGATCCAGCTGTGCAGCTTTATTTTTTAGAAATAATTCTCGGGTTTTGACACTGAGTAGATCGGGGATTATGTGGACTAACATGAGTGCAGTTGCACATGAGACTGCAGCTGTTAAGACCTTTGCAGTGGTCATAACAATGGCGACTGTTCTTGTATGTGCATTGAAGGTCCATAAGTTAATAAGATGTGTGGCTCCACATAGAACAATGAAAGCACCAAATTGAACAAGAACCCATCGATAGGGGGAAAACTGCTGATTTTTTAACAAAATATATTAACTCCAATGGGATTGAGAAATAAGCAAGTGCAATGAAGAAATCTGATATGTACTGATATTTCATCAGAAGTTCATCCGCTGGCCATTGTGGCTCAATGCAATTGCAAGAGTCCATTGTTGATGAACCAACCACCTCTAGACTCTCCAGGCGTGTACTAATTACAGCATCTGCAAGCAATTAAACAATATGAGTTCGCTATTAGTAAAAACCATGAGAATTGCCTTTCATAAATCTCTTCAGATAAGATCGATCCCTTTTGGTAGTTCAATCAAAATCAACATACCTACTCCTCTCTTATACTAACAAAAACACAATTGACATTAAAACCATCTCGCCATACCTCTGATGAAATGAAACAGTAACATATAGTTCAAAATTAGAATGGATCAATACTATGATCTGTAAGGTACAAGTCAATGCAAATTAAAACAAAAGCCTCAAAATCGCATACAATCAACGATTATCACAAACCTCTTCCACATAAGGGTTTTAAGAACTCAAACAAAAACCCTAGAAAACCAATAAAGCAAGGAAACCTCTTACCTTATGGAGTAAGGCTCGTCAATCGAACATTAAAATATTAGCTGAAGTTGAAGTAATCAGCTACCATAAAATCTCGGTTATGGATATGTACGAATGTGAAATCGATCAAAGAACAATTGGTTGTAGCAATCAGCGGGATACAGTTGAGTGAAGACGACTTTAGGGAAGCGGTGGTATAAAGCCGATTTTAGAGAGAGAGAGGGAGACTCTCTCTTGGGGGAGAAGAGAGAGAAAACTGTTGGACTGATTATGACGATGACGATGATGATGGGCTTTCATTCAACTAATCATATCTTCATACTGTTTTCCGGAGCCCAAATTCTCGCACTTTCGGACGTCAGATTGAGCCCAAATTCTCGCACTTTCGGACAACAAAATCTGACGTCTCTCTCTCTCTCCGTATATAGAAAGGAACAAGTAGATGTTTGAACATGCATTTTTTAAATGATTATTATGATGTAAAGAATCTCAATCAAAATTAGATAATTTGGTTCATTGAATTTAAACATGTAGCTGATTTAGTTGGTTTATTAAAATATTCTACTTCTAGTTTATTCCCTTGTTTTAACCGTAAATAACCAACAAGTTATAATCACAATTATTACCAAACACTCAAAATAGATGATTTCAATTTCAGATTGCACTAATTTAATTGCACTAATTTAAATGTATATAGAAACACCCTCTTGACAGATCATCTATACAATAATTAATATTTTAATAACAAAATTATACAAAATATTTTTTTTTTTGAACAGTTATACAAAATTTTTGTAACAAAATTATACAGAATATCATAATCCTTCACATTTGACATATTTTTACATCTGATCACCAATCATAATAAATTTGACATAGTATTGAGATTCTTTAGTTTCAAATGATAAATATCATTACATATTTGACATATTTTACCTCAATACTATATTGTATTATTGTTCCAAACATGTATCAAAGACCCTTTCTTCAAACAATAACATTCACCCACCCCATTTCAAAGAAGAAAAGTAAATTTCAAATTTTTTATATAAACCGAGAATTCTAGCAAGAAACTAAGAATGACGAATTTAAAGATCTATCTTCTATTTCATATTGAGGAAACTTATGTTGTGTCATACTACTCATAGAAAAATTCTAAATTCAAATATTTTATATTATCTTCAACTATTTCATGTTGAGGAAACTTATGTCGTGTCATACTACTCATTTATATTTGTATTCGGTGAGAAAAGAGAAAGTTGTATGGTTGTCTTTGATTCAAGTATCAAATTGTGTTTTAGTCTTTATTTTCAAGTTTTAATTCAAACCGTCCTTTATATCGTTAAAGCTGCAAACTTCGTTCCTGCAAGACAAAACTATATTACCATTTACGATTCTTTTTTATTTGTTTATAATTTATCTATTAGTTTTATATCATTGTCATCTCCCCCCCCCCCCCCCCCCCCCCCGGGAACCACGTCTGACATCCACCATCCTCTACCTTCGACAACCATCCACCCAACACCAAACCAAATATAAAAAGAAACTTGATATTGGTTCCAGCCACCTCTAACCACCGGCCAAACCAAATCAAAATAAAAAAGAAACATGAAATTGGTTCAGCCACCATCGACAAACACCACTATTCACCTCCAAAATAAAAACAAAAACCTAAAATTAAACCCTAACTTCAAATCACATCCAAATTCTACATAAAAAAAATCCCTTCCTCATTCCCATACTCCTCCATCCTTTTTCTTCACAACCATTTCATTTCATCGGTACCGCCATTTCTTCGTCGAAAACCCACAAAACCCTATCGGATAATGTAACTAGACCGGACTCCAAACCATTGATTATCTCAAATCAAATTCTAAATTGTTCCAATGAAAGATGAGCAAGTGGTGTTTTGGTGATGTTGGAGCTCCGGCGGTGGTAATTAAAATAGATGAAGGTGTTTTGGTGGTGTAGAAACCATATCAAGAAACAACAACAACGAAGTAGATACGACTTCCCCCACCAGTCAGTTCTCTGAAATCGATTTGAAGGACTGTGGCTTTGGTGGTTGTTGTTGGAGAAACATCGATGATGGATGGTTGTTTGTCGATAGCATCAGACCTTACTTTGTATGTGTGTAAAGGTTTTTTGGCCAACATGGTGGGAGTAGACTGGAGAGGGCGACAGACACAAAGAGATGGTTTGTTGGTGGGAGTAGTCATCAGCGGTGGATTAAGGAAGTTTGGATTAGGGTTTCTTTGAATAGTTTAGAGAAGAGGGTGGAAGCAGGGGCATATCTTATATAGGGCTAGGGGGTTGTGGCCCCCTTATTTTTTTGGCAGAAGTAGTCACTATATTTTAATTTTATACATATTAGGTCCAAAAATATAAAATTTTGACTACGGCCCCCCTGTTCATCAGTTTTTATACAAATTATATCCCCCCCCTCCCAAATGAAAGATTGAAGCTTCGAAGAGAGAGATCAATAAAATGAAGGGTGAGGTGGTTTGGGAGTGAAATTGGTAATGAAGTGGGGTCATATTTCTTTGTCTTTTAAAAAAAATCATAATAATATCATTAAATTATTTGGACATTATTGTTATTTCAGATATGACAGACCAAAACCACATCAAAACTATTTATCGGGAACGAAACATGCAAATTTTAAACGTATGTCGATGACCCAATTTAATTTTAAATAAAAACTAAACGCACAATTTGATATTTGAAAAGGAAAAAAAAACAAGTAATTTTCTTGTTAGAAAATATACCATTTATTATTATTATTTTTGTGTTACTTAACAAGGATTTATTTTGTGTGGTTTTTAGACTGTCTACATGTAAGTTGTATCTCACCAAACATCGAAATCCGAATTATAAAATGGACTACAAAATTTTAATTTTTCAGTCGTTTCCAAAAGTCTCTCAAACCTTCAAGCCTGGAGTAGAGTTTCGAGGGCTTCAAAGAATAACGGAGCCATTTCAGGGCTGGGAGTTTTAAGGGCACATTTAACGCCGGGAGACCCCAAAACTGCTGTGAGTTCGATCAATAAAGGGATTCCTCTTGGGAGTTTAGCAGATAAATACAAAACCTCTTGGTTTTTCTTCTTACGCTTCGCAATGAAAAACATATTTGAGGAAGCCAACTCCTCTATAGTTGCATCAACGTTGTTAATCAAAATTCCACGAATCTCCTTCGAGACCTCATTCGAATCCGGCAATGACCTCCATGTCTGCAATCACAATTTTCATGGAATTGGAGATTTACAAGACAAGGTAAAAAAAAATGAAGTACCTACCTCAAGGAAGATGTCGCGTTCCATTTTTCCATCTTCTGTGAACAATACAAACAACGAGATTCGATCATTAAAGTACCATACAGGCTGTTGATTGTTCTTCACTGCAACCTGTAAAAGCGAGGTCGGAGAACCCGGCGCCATATTCTGGAACAGAACCATCGGAAGAAGGGCTTTTCTGGTCGTTCCCGGTAGCAATTCCGGTACCTGAAGTGGTCCACCGGCAGCAAGACCGAAGGTATTTTTATTGAACTGGATCATAAATCCATCGAGTGAATTCTGTGTGTTGTTCTCCAAAATTAAGCTGTAAAAAACCTTGCCATCTCTCCTCACCAGCTGCGCGCTAATCTGTAAACCTTGACCATTTGCAGCCGGTAACAAAATCGGTAGCGGCGGCCTGCAAAACCAGAAAAGCTTCTATGATCTGTGCAAACAAAAACCGAGATGTAAACCCTAATATTTACCCTGTAGGTGCTGAAGGCGAATCAACAGGCACCATGGCATTACTATTACCAACATCAACATCAAGACCTAGATCGAGTAAATCTGGAATGGAAGCAGGTGGAAGAGATGTTTGCTTTGTTAAAGCATAAGGAGAAACAGGTATAGTAGTAGGTGATGGTGCACCATTAAGAATATGTGCACGTGGTGTATTGGAAAAGCCCTCTGGTAACTCTTCTTCTTCTGTTTTTGGAATGGTTCTCACACGAGTTACAAATGTTTCAGGCGTTTTGTGATAAACAGAGGACAATGTAGCAATGTTAGCCAGAAGTTCAGAGAGGAGAGATGAGTCGAATTGATTTGAATCATCACTAATCACTGGTTTCTCAGCTAAAACAACATCTTTTGCAGCCTGAGAATTAAAATGCTAGTCGTTATGTCGTACTGCATTCTATAGTGACTGATTGTATGATAACAAAGCGTAACTAGATACTAAATTACAATTTTTGGGCCCACACAAACCTCAGTAAATACTAAATACAAACCTCTGGATCTGTTGAAAGAAGACGCCAATATATGTAGGCCCGATCTCGTAGATCTGGATTGTCGGTCTCCAAAGTTGCATTATTTAAAACAACCTAAAAAGAAAATATCATAACTTTAAAGTTAGTTTTATTTGTTTAATATATAGAAACACAACAATATAATCAATCTATGATACCTGAATCATCTGTTGGGGTCCTTCAGTTGGCTTCTTAAGAAAGAGTTTGACTGTTTGCTGTTAATAATTGTAACTGGACTTGTGCAGGTTCTTCAGGGAAACTCTCCAGGAAGCTTTCAAGAAGTTCATCAGCATTATCGATTCTCTCAGCATATTCACCAATTATCCAAATCATTGACGCCTGTGTAAAAATTAAAAATAAACAAACATTTGGTTAAATTTTAACCAAAATAAAATGGATTTTCGAGATTTTATTTAAACATGCCTAGTACCTTTGCCTCTGGCTCATCTAAAGTGTCCAAACTCTCACAAAGTGTAGCAATGATAGATTCATAACTGATAAAAAATAATAAATTTGAGGTTAATTTTTTTCATATGAAATGATTTTATTAGATGAGCATCAGAAACTTACGTGTTGGGATATCTTCTAAAAATATCTTTAATGACTATAATCGCTTCTTGGACTACATAATTTACTTTAATTTTGATGAGTTCCAAAAGAACACTAATGCAACGTTCAGCAGCTCTCTCTAACTTGATAGCACATCGTCCAATGGCACGGACACCCTTTCTAACAAAATCTACATCTACTTCAGTAGCATACTCTTTAAACTCCAACAAAACCTGAGGGACAAAAATGTAATTACGATATAGAACAAAGTCCATCAAATTGCAGTAAAATGGTAAAACAAGATCATTACCTGGTCAATATTTCTTTCTGAAGCAAGCTTAATCATGATCTCTAACTTTTCCATTTTCACATATATCGGATCATTGTACTTGCAAAAAAACACCTGGAAAGTAGGTTGCCTTTTGATATTACATGATTTTATCTCCCTGATACTAATAAAGATTTTTTTTTTTAAAAAAAAAGGTGAAACGTTTTTACCTTGATTTCATGAGCAAGAATTGTGGGCCTTCTTTGTACAATAAGGTTAATGTTTCTCAAAGCAACCATATTGAATCTCAGGTTCTGCAGAAAGTAATGTTACAAGAGGAGGAGCCATTTTCTTGCATAGATTCCGAGTCAAATCAGGACTAGTGATCACTTCCATTTGTTGAAGAATCATCTATATATATGAACACAATAAATAAAATCTTAAATAAAAGGAAATATGTTAACAAGGGAAAAATAAAATAAAAAGCAATGCCACCTTAACAGCTGAAAGAACCACAGCACAATTTGCATGTTGTAGCCTTGGAGTAACTCTTTCCACAATATTTTCAGCTTCACGTGCATCCGCTGATTTGTACTTTGAAAGAGCATCTAATATGAAAACTTGACCCCACCTGAATAATGAAATGATTAAAATTAACTTTATAGGAAAAATTACTACAAGAAATCAATAATAAT